CAACGCAGCATACTGGCGACATGCGCCCACTCAAAACTCAGAGATATGACTTTCAGACACGAGTTCACTCTCAATCGGCTATGGCGACTTCAGCACCCAACATCTCACTGTTCACATACCCTGGATCACCCTGGATATCCCATACGCATCACTCTAACACTCGAACACATACACACACTCACTACTAACTACAGCTATGGCAGCTATCGCTGCATCTAACCTATCGCTATGCTAACTCCCTCTCTCTTGCCCACTGCGTCCTCCGGGCTCATCCACAGACCTCCTTGCACAAGTCGCTGTGGCAGCGCTTCCGCATGGCTCACGCAGGAATGAATGAAAGGCTGGGCGCTGCCTCTTGATTTATACTTCAGAAACTCGTTGGTCTGCCCTTTGCCATCATCCCATGGTGCTCACAGTCCCCCGTGGTACTTGCTGGACCGGACTGGGACTGACTGGACCTTACCGCTGACTGACTGTGGACTTACTGCTATCCTACCGACGTTGTACTGCTATTGCACTGCAGTTTAGTCCACCACTTGCCTCGCCACTTGACCACTTGTGCACTTGCCTACCTTCTAGAAGGACTACAGCTCAGCTTCTGGAACTCACTAAGACTCTTCTATGCTATAGACCTACAGATCGAACCCCTGCTTCCTATGGGCCTACGACAGACCTACCAACTGTCTACGAATACACAGGTCAAAGGTTCAATTCTCGGGGTCTGCACGGATACTGTACATGGGTAGGGTGAGGTCTAGGGATCGAACCCTGGTGTTGCATTGGCTACTGCTAAAAGGTGAAAACCGTTTCACCGACCTGTTTCCTCCCCACACACCTCCCTGCCCCTTTGGAAGATCTACGATAAAATTCTAAGCCCTAAACCCCTCGCCTGTGCGCCCAACCTCCAATAGTCGATCTTGGACATTGGCAGGCATTATTATCTTTCCAATTTTTTATCTGATTCCTTGAGGATACTAACTCATGATCTGCTTTTTAGTAACAGCCACGTGTCTGACATTGCGTGTACCATTCATGCCAGCATATCTAGGCCTGCTCTGCCGAACCGGCCCTGTTTGGCTGCAGGCTCGCTCTTCTTTGCGCCAAAGCACTGTTGCTTGAGTAGGGAAAGCATTGCAGATAGATTGCAGTTTATGCAAGGACACAGCAGTTGGATTGATGATCACATTTCTGGTGACAGAGTGGAGGGTTACCTAAGGCTCAGTTGATTAACGCACAGAGTAGGTGAGGACATTGTGTACGAAGTACGTGTGTAGGCTCTGCAAGGTACCCAAGTGTATTTATTGTACAAAGTACCTGAGTGGATTGCACAAAGTACCTGAGTGTATTCCACGGATTACGTGAGTGCATTCCACGGAGTACATGAGTGCATTGTACGAGGTACCTGAGTGCATTGTACAAAGTACCTGAGTGCATTCCACGGAGTATGTGAGTGCATTCCACGGAGTACATGAGTGCATTCCACGGAGTACGTGAGTGCATTCCACAAAGAACCTGAGTGCATTCCACAAAGTACGTGAGTGTAGCTAATAGGAGAACCCAGAGTATCTGAGCGCATTGTGCAAAGTATCGGAGTGAGTTCTTGAGTGCATTGTCCAGAGTACCTGTTGCATACTAGTGAATACCTCAACAAGTATGGGCAGAACCAAAGATCAACCAATATAGGATGAGCATGTATGCAGCGGAAGTCTGAGAAATGGACTGACTCACATAGACCGAACTCCCCCAACATCACTCAACACACAAACAATCGTGGGATGGTGGGGTCTGAAGCCATGCATAGACGATGCTTCAGGCCCCGCACAATCATACGCAGATGAATGGTGGGAGGAGAGACGAGATAGAATCCAGAAGGTCACCAATATGGTAGCCAAACTGTCACCGAACAAAACCAGAATGTCGTGGACATGAGTCACCAATGTCAGACGTACAGAATCCCAATGTAACCGATGTCCGATCTGTGATGCCACTGGGTATGAATCCCAATGTCTCCAATGTCTTGAAACCAGGTAAGTGTCTCAGCCTCCTACTACCGAAGTCCAAACACTGATCTCTGTCCAACTCGTATCTTAGTGTCCAATCTGAAGAAGAAGAATAAGTCTGAAGAAGAAGAAAAAAGAAGAAGAAGAAGAAGAAGAAGAAGAAGAAGAAGAAGAAGAAGAAGAAGAAGAAGAAGAAGAAGAAGAAGTGGCAGAGGAGGAGGGAGAGATGGTGAGGTAGTCAGGAGGAGAATCCTCGCTGCCCTGTCCCTGGCCCTAGGCCTTACCTGCAGGTGCGCGCTAGAGCCGTTGTAGACCTCCCTCAAGCTGGAGCTATGGCGCCACAGGTAAGCGCCAGGTAAGTACCTCCTACCCTCTCTATCCCTGTGCAGTCCAGCGCTAAACCTCGCGCTGCTGCCTCTAGCGCTGCGCTCTAAACAGAATAGCGCAACGTTCCTCCAGTGTGCCGCTGCTCCCTGAATATGGGAATGGCCGCTGGACCGGCCTAAGTACCGTCCGGTGGCCGGTCGGCCTTGATGCTGGCCTCCTGCGCCCTGGGCTGAACCGTCAAAATGACCGTTCAGCTCAGACCGGCGGGCGGCAGCCTCAAGAGCGCCGCCAGGCCCAAACGGTCATGTCGTTTGGGCCAGACCTGGTCTGCTGGGCGCTGAGGTGCCAACCGGTGGCCTAACAGGGCCTACCGGGGGAAAAGGACTGGCTTTTGGCGAGGCCGGCCTGGGTACCCCCCTGAACCGGTATGTTGGGCCTGTGAAGGCTCGTGTGGACTGTACAAAATGCCTGAGTCCATCCATTCTACAGAGTACCTGACTCCAATGTGCAGAGTACCTGAGTGCATCGTACAGGGTAACAGAGTGCTTTATATTTGTCCAGTTGTGATTTTAGGTACTGTTGCTTGTACAATAGGATTAGCTGTTCTCAGTCCTTCAACGATCCATGAGGCCGCAAATCCATTTGCTGCTACGTTTTAAAAATTTTCTGAGTGGTTGTGTTTTCCTGTATTAACTGTATTTGCGAGGAAAGTGAGCGAGAACGAAATGATGGAAATCCAAATTGCACATGACATTGAAAGCCAGATTGTCGAGCACTGTCCAGAAAGCAGAATGCACCAAGTTACACACCAATGAAGACCAAATCAATGAACTCAGTTGTCAATGACAGCCCCTTCTTGCCACCATGAACAATGTATTCAGTCTCTTCT